CATCCGTCTCACCTGTGCCCGAAAAGCTTCAGTTCTAATACGATTCTACCGAAACTACTTTCATTCGGTTGTTTAAATCGAACATTAACCAGGGAACAAAACACACACACACGCAGGGGGACCGACAACACACCAAACGTCCGTCAGAACATTCGTGTGTGGCCCCAGCTTGGTTGGGTTGAGAAACAGGGGCAGTGTTATTATGTCACCAGGACAGCACACACACACACACACAAGTGAAAAACACATTCACCCTGTACAAAGTCAAACATCAAAAACGTTTTGAGCCAATTGTTTGGCGTAATCGGGAAACAAACCAAGTGGCTTTTGTTATTTACATAATTTGCTTCCACAGTTTTCGGGGAAACGGGAGAGAAACATGAAAGTGGTGAGCGATAATCGTGTGTTGAGCGGTAGCATCTGTCGCAGCACAATCGTCCATCGTGAGAGATGGTTTGCTTCCGCGGTGCCACAGAAAGCTGTGTCGCCAAAAATGTGGTCTCTAGAGTTATTGAAAAGGTGCATTGCAATCAGAAGCAAGGACGCTGTTGCAAAGAGGAAACCTGTGAGATGAATCGCAGACAGCTTGGAAGAATTTCTTCCTCGAACTGCCAGCCATGACTTTGTCAGGCGCGTTCCCGGAAAGAAAATCGATGTGTAGTGTATGTGCGTCCGCTGTTTTTGCCTTCATCTTCAAGAGATTCAAATTCCACGTTTTGGTTTTTATCTTTCCTGTTAGGATCTTCTCTCGGTGGGCCAATTATACAAATTAGGCGCAAAATTCACGACAAAATCTATTGAATTAATAATATGGACGAGATGGCTCAAGTGGTTAGAGCGTGAATTTACTGACCGAAAGATTCGTAGTTCGAACCCGACCTCTATCTTTCGACTTCTCCTGTCTAGTTTTGCGCAACCTGGCAGTGTCCCAGCTCTCGTGCTTCCTTCGGGTAGTTGGGCACTGAAAGGGTGTTACAGCTGAGCGAAGTATTAACAAGTGACCTCAGCGAGTCTCAATTCAGGAGGTTTTCATACTGCTAGTCAGCACTGTCGGCTGTAAGGTCACATCAGATGATGCGTGCTATACGGAGCAGGTATCAAGGGCAGTGGTAGTCTGTGGAAAGCCAGTCACAGTATTCCCCGTAGCAAAGTATTTCACTCCATGTCATGCTTTCTAAACTCGACGTTTCCAGTTTGGACTGTTGTCGAGCTAAGACACCAAACAGACACGGTATAACGTGAAGTACATCCATTCGCCGGGCCTGTATATTATATTCATTGAACCTCCTAGTCAAAGGATGTCCGAGATGAGCTCAGACATCCAGGTGTTACTGAACTGAGTCAAACTCTCATCCCCTAAAAGTGACCATTCCAAGCTGTCAGGTTGTCTTTTGTGAACATCGGTTCAATGAAACATGCACAGGAATTGACGTGCTATCTCTGCTATGAATACAGCTCATGAGCTCAATCTGCCTGATAGTCCCTGATGGTGTCGATTTTGTATCCAGCTACGATGCGAGACTACCTGATAGCGTGCGGTCAAGCGACATGATTTGGGAGCACACATTAACTCGCGTGGGACTGGTCGACCAGAACAAACAAGGAGCGTTACATTTCAAGGTCAGTAATTTTGAAATACAGCTAGTGTGGTATCACGGAGATATCAATGGCCTTCAGTAGAACATCCAGCTAAAGGAAACGGCATATGCTCATCGGCTCGCCCACTTCAAAGTTCATTCAAAAGGCGAACAGTCCTGTCTGTACTGATAAACTCCTGGCCTTAGGTTTGTGACCTTGAAGCCTTCCTGTAGACGGGAATCGTAGCCAGTGATGCCCGGGAAAACCCATAGTAATTGGGTAAAAATACAGGAAAATCAAATGATGTTCTCAACATGGGATTCCGTCTGAAGAGTGCCGTAGCATGTCCAGGAGTAATCCATCTCATCGAGTTTCAGATTTGTTGAAGGAATTTCGGTGACCTTGTCGATACCAAATTAATAGAAAAAAGCCGTAATCAGTGGCTTGAATGTGTCCACAAGACTTATATTCATTCATGTTTGAGTAAACTGCATGTTACGATATTCGGGTAGACTGAAGGTTTTCACCTGAGAACGGACAGAACGTTCTTCAATTTCAGTAAAAGTGGAATTTGTAAAATCAAGAAAACGTGTTCCAACAGTCCAGCTTGAACTAAGTGGAATTGTGAATAAAAGTCCGTCTCATTATTGGACCCAAAAGTACTTCTTTTGTCTCATAACATTCATATTATCTCGGGGTGATTTTGGAAAGTCGGTGAACAGCCCATCTGGCTTTAACCTGAATCGAATTCAACCGGGACCGGCAGTACCACGCTGACACGGAACACTACTTTTGGGAAGATATTGCTGAAAAACCCACCATCGAACAACAAACTTTTGAATTTTATTTATTTTACAGTGGCCTCCATCGAGTATTGCGTACACACATAGCGCCTTGTAGATTGCCTGAGGACTAATCGCAGAATACTATACATGTTTCGTTGCTTGTTATTCCAAAGACACCTACGGATATACTCGCGCGCCTAATTTGGTATTTGGCCTTCAGCAACTGAGCGGACTTGCATAAAGCAGCAGCGTGGGTATTTTTTCGGATATTTTCCAGAAGAACCCAGCCATTAACTCAAAAAGTGCATGTGCGAAAAGTTAAGCCCCGCCACTTTTTAGCAGCCTCAATTTAATGTACGCACGCAAACTTGACCTATTTTTGATGAAAACAGTTCCTTAACCGCATCTGAGCTCATTTTGTTTAAACATTTTCTACGTTTGGACGTAAAACCTTAAATGAACTTTCTGACGCTTGCAACTCTCGTTCATGACAAGGAGACGGCAATACGTTTTTTACGAAGGCAGCAGCAACCTTTATGCAATAATGGTCACCAAATGACACTCTCAACTGTTTCTGACAGGTGGAGGTGTAATGCCCGACAGTGTCGGCAAAAAATCGGTCTTCGAAAGGGAACTTTGCTGGAACGGTCTACGATGGGGTTTAGGATGGTAATTCTATTCATTTGTTGCTGGTGCAAAATTTTGGGAAAAAACAAATTCTGCTCAGAGGAATAAACTATTGGTCACACGACCGCTGTTGACTGGAAGAACTATCTACGCGAAGTTTTTTCGCCTGGCGGCTTTTGCAGACTCCAACGGTTAATCATACCGAAACCATTGTAGATCCAACGACTGGAGCTCACACACAAACCGTCGAATCTTTTTGGCACGTCTACAAGATGCAGAATAAACGCCAATACAACACACGCTGGTCTTTAGTGGACAGCTACTTGTGTGAGTTCGTTTGGAGGAAGAGGTGCCGAAAAACGGACCTTTTCATGCGAATTATTAATGACATGTCCCAATTTCACTCTCTTCAATAAAAACTATAAGTACGAACTCCATATCCTCTTTTTTCTAATTTTTCGGTCGGCGGGGGTTAATTTTTTGGCGGGGCTTATCCGGAAAAGATCTTTTTTTCAAATTTGAGACAAACTTTATCTTAATGAGCTCAGAAATTAAGTTTACTAGAATCAGAGGAAAACGTGCCAAGAATGCCGAAATAAAAAATACTGTTAGAACAAACAAAAGACTCGGCACTGTCATTGTAAAACAGAACTGAGTGGGTGCATAAACTCAAAGTGATTTTCATCCAACCATCAATATTCTCGCTAGGCAACCAGCCTGAAACTGTTTGGTTAGTGCAGAACCAAGTTGTCTGCGTGTTCCATGCTCTTTTATTGCATGGTTTTATCTATCAGACCAAGTTCAACGGGTCTTGGTTATTAGAGCACCATTCTGTTTATAGGCTTCCAAAAACTCATAAAACTATTTTAGCCATCAATGACTCTCACAGTTCACTGGCCAAATGGATGTTAGATATGTATAATCCTGTTTGAAACATCGCTTACTAGACAGCATCGCAAAAGCACATACGACCTTCACCATTGCTCTTATTCGCATATGAATTTGTCTTCGACCGGAGACTCACATACAATGGTCTTTCTCAATTGAATGTGTTGCACCATGCCGCCTCATGTTTCGTTATGCGCAATATTCGAGGTATGGAAAACTTGGGGATTTCGACTACCTGATTAGGTCCAAGAGGGTGTGAAGCCGGTCTTGAGCTGTCAATGAGTTTTCAGCAACCACAAGTAGTGCGTTACGCCTACACATAAGAATTTACGCCCCATCCTGATCACATTGCTATCCCTCAGACAGCCATATGTTCGCTAACGCATGAACATTCTTCACCGACGTCGCTGTACCTTTGAAGGTGAAAACAAACAAACCCACCTAGGTCCGTTTGATAAACTTACACATCAGACAGGATCAAATCGATGATGTTATCTTGCGGTGTCTATTGGGACCGATCTGAGCAGTGGTCAGGAGACAGCAGTCAGCAACTACCTCCTTGTAAATGACATATGAGTGACAGTTTACACATGACAAAGATTCAAGGCAAATGGGTTTTAAACATGGTTCCGCTTTGAACCTATACACAGCACAAGTGACGCTCATTTAATCTGCATAGCACTGGAAATCGATCGTCTGGTGTCTGATCCAGGCAGGCCGCAGAGTTGACATTTATTCCTGTCCCTTCTGGGTCATAACATACGGCAGCCAACCACATTTTTGCAGCAATGTTGCGTTTTCCCGGGACCTTCATGATTTTACACATTAGACCGGTAACATTTTCGTTACGTACACGCCACGAAACCAACCCTACACCTGCGCGGAGTATATCCATCATGCAAAGGTGTTCAGCTGACAAAATCGAGATCGTACAATCGTAATCGTACGCCCTACGTTATTTGCTTCACAGCTTTCACTTTTGTTACAGTGAGGCGATCTGAGTGTTGGTCCGCCCCCCCCCCCCCCCCCGCACACGTGTACAATCATAGACACTTGGAAAGAGCTCAATGAGGAAGGTTGTGTATGAAGCAACAGTAAAAACGAGGTAAAACTGGAACTTACCGCTTATGAACACCACAATTCCATGTCTTTGGTAACTTTTCATCATGTTTAAGTCTTTATTTAGATTCGCATGGATGCTAACTCATTTGTGTCGTGTGTATAGATTAGGAAGTGTTCTGGTAGTTTCTCCAAACTGGGAAGTGTGAGTAAGATAGATCCAGAGGCGTATCCGACACGGGTTTTAGAACCAATGGACAATCGGGGGTTCAAAACATTCGCACATTACCGCAGCACTTCACCATGTTTGTCCAGTCCAACATATGTCATGCGTTACTGGAGTAAACAGGACTTAATTGGTGGTCTGGCCAGTAATTTCACCTGCACACGAATGGTCCAGTCATGTCAAAACATTCAGCCGTCTGTTGCGGTTCTGATTGGCTCCTTTGTTTGGCCAATCACCAGTCGACCTTATTCCTGTCACACGAGACCCCATAAACTTCTGCTTTTGGCTGGCGCTCTGTTTGTCGACTTGCTTGGTCCTCACTCAACAAGACAGGCGGTTGGGTGCAGGGCAAGTGGTGACATGCGAACACGTGTTCACAATGGCAAAACAGACATCCACTGCGCGAGCGAAAAAAAAACTGGCGTCATGTAAGCGCATGTCGAACGTCCGGAACCAACCGGTCAGTGCCACTGTTGGTGAAAGGAAGAGAAAACTTGGGTATCGTACACTTGTTAATGCTCTACTAGAACCCGAAAACTAGTTGTATGGACGAGAAAACGGAGAGCACTAACAATGTCTGCTTGTTGAGTAAAATTATTACAACAGGTATATATGCAAACAAGGGACTCATCGTTTTGCAGGTACAGGTTGATAAATCCTGTTGTAAGTCCGGATGCAGGTTTCGTGTCTCCTTCGCTGTTCACGTATTCCTGAGTATCCGTGCGTGAAGCGCCGTAAGTCCTGAGCGGCTCTGCTCCGAGTTGGGCGACGTGCGAAGCTCTGTTGAGTTGTGTCGTTGTAGGAACGTTTGCGTGTGTGTGGGCGTCAGCACATGAATTGTTACCTTATCGGACAGTAGACAGTCGATGTCAGATGAGTCACCTTTGTGTGTCGTGATTTGTACGTGTAGGGAAATAAAGCGAGTCTTGGGATCGAGGGCTTGACTGTGAGCTGTGTAGACAAGTGAGTCACGATCCTGTGGAGTGATTTGTAAGTGTAAAAAAAGACAGATCTCGTGATCAAGCGAGTGTCGGTGACCTGTACAGTCATGTGTGTGGCGAAAGGGTAGCTACACACTCCAGATAGCTAATTTAATGGATCGGTTGAGTCCTGGGCCACAACACCTCTACACAAGCTGCATAAACTAACCAGCGTTTTGACATTTTATTGATAAACATTACGACGTACACACTACGGAAACACAGGGACAAAGCTAATTCAAGAACTTTAAATGGTGGGAGCCAAACCATGCGGTTTATGTGTTCACAGGTTAACGAATAGTCCTCCTGGATTTGGTGTTTCGTTGTCAGGCAACTAGATAGATGAATATTTGACTGATCAGTCTACAAGGTGCCATAATTGGGCTTGTGGAAACCAAAAAGTCACTGGAGTTTCTCGGATCATTGGTAAAGTCCCATTTGCGTTACCATCAGGAACCTTCGGTTAACCATGCAGTCGTGATCCTTTGCACAACGTTTTTTGAGTCGTTTGGCCCGGTTTGGTCCGTAGTGCGAACCGGATGCTTGTACGGAGAAGTTGTTGAGGTTTCCTGTCTTACGTGTATGTCCGACTGATCGTGAAATGTATCAAAATGAGTATAGTTCACAGCTCTAATAAGAAAGTCGACAATCAATAAAAATAAATCCGAATCGACTTAGATATCCGTGTGCTCCGTGTGCTGAAGCGCTGCATGTACGACATGCATTAGCCAAATTTCGGAGAACATGGCAGCCTTTAAAATGATCGAAAATACCTGGTCACCTTTGGTGAGAAGTCCGATTTAGGTAGTGTTAGGACGCTTCCAGACGGGAAAAAAAGCACATGTGCAGAGAGTGACGCATCACCAAGGTCACCATCGCTATGACATGTCCGGAAAGTAGGTGAGTTGGCAGCTCTCACCAAACACGGCTTAGCAACATACGACCAGCGTAATGGGCCTGAAGTTGTTCATGACCGGAACACCACCATTGGTTGTGGGGAACGAACAAATGAACGACCATATTTGGTCATTTAGTCATCCTATATATTTACGCAGACTGTATGTTTTGTCCTGACGATACAGCCGTGTCCCCAGTTCCCTGTCTTCGCGTAGTCTGGCAGGCTCAGTTCAGGCGTAACCAGTAGACGGCCACCCACGATACAACAAGTAGACCCTGCGAGTACTTTCCCCATGCTGAAATCGACGTGTTTTACAACCCTGCATCTGTCTCAAAAGGCAGACTAAAATTTTGGTGTCGTGGATTTAAACTCACTTTCTAAGAAGGGCGGTTATCAAGGCTAATAAACGAACAGGTGAACGAACTTTGCAGCCATCGGTCCAGATCAAATGTCCCTGCTGCGGGTCTACTGAGACAAGTTTACCTTAGGCACAATGCGGGACCGGTCTTACCTATTCGCGATGTGGTCACCCGATATAAAACCTGTTGGTAAAAGGCAAGGAATCATGTTGAAGTTATCCTGATTGCTTTACTGCTTCCGCGATTAGAAGTGAGCGCTTGCACTTGGGAACAAAAATAATGAAACAAAAAATTGCGACTTGGTTAGTACTCAGCAAACATTTGAATTGCATGCCATTCTGGCAGTCATAATCTGTCTCCCAGTTAGAGTTTCAAGATGCCGCATATATATGTATACATATATATATATATATATATATATAATTTTGGCAAGTCAACTCGAAAAAGAACCAGGTGTAACCCTAATTTCAGATCCTATATAGAAGCCCTGTTTGCTTGTTTGATTTCCCCTTCACCATCAATTATTAACAGCAATGTAGGAACAGGCAATTTTGGGACGGCGTTTAATAAGAGAGGAAGAATTGCCACCTTGGTTGCTGGATTTTGACGTAATAGTTCAGAAAATACCACGAGGAAGTCTGTGTTTCGAAAATCCGTCAGCTTAACTTTCACTAGGTATATCAGTCGGTCCACTTTGACATCCGATGTGATTTTACGCAGTTTGCCGCGACAAGTTCGTACAAATTCGAGTTGGTGTTTAACCGGTAGGAAACTACGGCGGCATTCTATGTAAACCTCACGATACTGAGGCGTAAACAGGCCGACATCGAGATAAGAAATGCCGTCGTACTGTTCAATCTCTGATGTGAGTAACTGATGGATCACGATTCCACTTATCTGCAGTTTGCGGACCACCAATTTCAGGTTTACTGTCAGCAGTCGCTGCTCTACCTGACTCGTGAACACACCACAACCCCAACTGCAACACCTTGCGCCTGTTACTGAAAAGCGCAATTCAGAAAGAATGTGGACGTCAAGAGTTCAGTGTCGTAAAAGCATATATAATTCCACCACCAGGAGTCTTGTTGATAAATCTTTGGCTTTGAAAGAATCATGGTTTAGGCCATTAAGTCCACTGACAGGAATGTCAGAGACTCAACGTCAAATAAGGACGTTATGTTTCCACTTAAACTAATTTTACAGGTTGTTTCGGCCAACTCTCCACCTCGGTTTATAAGAGGAAATTAAAAAGTCGGCGGAACTAGAGTGGCTGATCAGAATATCACAGCTGGAAGCCATATTCACTTTTCACCACACTACATAGTATGAGTGAGCGTAGCCTGTAAAAAGAGTCTGGATCTGAGTGTGAGCTGGGCAGACTGCACAAAATTATTGATTTTCAGCAACCTTATTAGTATTACATTACAAAGATAAACATGTATCGCGATATCTCGAATATCGTAGCGACTGAAACATGAGGCGGCCTGGTGCAGCACATTCAGTTGCCTGGGAACATCACAAACGAGAGATTCAACTGGGTTCCAGGTGAGTCTCTCGAAAAACCAAATTAGTTTGCAAATGAGTATATATTCGCTAATTTGGTGCAATTTGGTTCCAAGTAAAACATAAGGTTGACGGAAACCCAGGGACTGCACCTACTTGATAAGCTCCAAGCAGGGAGAAACCGGTCGTGGGCTGTCGATGAATTTTCAGCAACCTTATAAGTAGTACATTACAAAGATAAACTATTGATAGTGCTAACCTGCGTGGATAGGAGATGACACCTGGCCTCGGGTCAAGATGAATGACACAATTTCTAAAGCGCTCTAGGTACCGATTCGATGTCACCTAAGAAGCATACATGTGCTCCTTGCGTCAAGTGACCGATGAAGGTTGTTCCACAGCGATTGGGGCAGCAAAATATGGTCCTTTGTTCTTAAATTCCTAACAAAACACAGTAACACTGATGTCCCATAAATGTCTCACAATTTCAAACAAAAGTTGGGAACTAATCATCCTAGATCCGACCGCCCATTGTACGAGGTTATGGTAAAGGGAATGAAGTGTGGATCGAGATGGGCAAAGGATTCATAGCGTGGTCTTGTTTGTGCGGTTCTTAATAGACAGACTTTGTTTATCCAGGTTTACCCTTCGTGATGAGACAGTGTTAGGAGAACTGCCTCCAAACGAACTAATGCAGCTTGCCAACAATTTATCTTTTGTACTGAAACGTTGTTCTCTCCATTCTGCCTAACACTGATATCTCATTGGAATGTTCGCTCTTTTACATTCTGATTTATTCCAAACCATAGTATAGAACGGTTCACTTGTTCCAAGTATCATTTCCTCAACGTCTTCTCCATCCTGATGTGACTGACAAATGTGATGGATACATCAGTAGAGACCATAAGAACTGGCGACTGGGACCCAACAAGTACCCAAAGATGTCAATCCCATCTGAGACCAATCCAGCAGCAAGCGCAGTTCGAACAATAGCAGTTGTGACTTATTCAGTCTCTTACTCAAGTGATCAGTCTCCAGATATCAGTTGCGTCTCAAAGTGGCAGTTCATTATCCACTGCCTATTTTATCGCAGCAATCGACCGAAGATAAAACCGCTGGGTAGTTACTTTCCAAAATGAATTTTTCTGATGAAGATGATGCGCGAAGACCGGAACCCTCGAGCACAACCAGTTCACGAACGTTATTCCATTCAAACATCCGAAGGATTTTTAAACTTTGCACAAAGAGTAAAACAACTCCGTGAAATTTTCGGTGAACAGCTTTCACTCTTTAACGTTTGGTACAACTATTTCAAACTAGCTAAGTGCCCTGCCAAGCACTACGTCACTTTTGTCGTGAATCTGAAAAATCCCAATCGAAGCCACTTATAGAG